AAACATTATGAAATGCTTATAATTATTGAAATAAATAAATAAATAAAAAAAGCAAAAAAAACATTGCAGTGTCTGTAAGGCCGATCACGGAATAAACAATTTTTAAATCTTTGACCTAAATTAGAAAGTTCAGAATGTCAAAGAATAGCAATAAAGCAGCTTTAATCATGTATATAATTTTTTCTTCTAATGAAGAAAAAATTAATTTATAAAAATAAATAAAATAATACCACTTAAGAGGTTTTTGTTATAAATTAGGCATTTATAACTTTATTTGAAAGCTTTTAAAATTAATTTTAGAAGGAAAATTTAGTTTTAATAAGAAAATTAATTGAACAAAAACGTACTTAAATCTACTTTTAAAAGAAATCGGGGAATGGTCAGTATTTCAATTAAACGACGTTTCAAATTATAAATATTATTTTATTGTCGATGCTCAAGCATTAAAAAAAATTAATTTTGAAATGCATGCAATAACTTATAATTAGAAACCTTATATTGATTCTTTAATATTCAACTAATGGTTTTTCAGTTTTTGTTTTTTTAAATGCACATTAGAATTCTGGAATACGTTGAGTTTCCGGATAGTTTTTCTTACACTTAATTACAAGAATCGTAATGTAAGTTTTTGATTAATCCTTCCTAAAATTTCATTATTACTCTTCATGGAATATCACAGCCTGGTTTACTTAAAAGAAAAATTGCTCCTAATATGACTATTTCATAATTAATAATCGTTTCTCAACCACTTGAATTTAAATTTAACGATCATAATTTAAAATTTTCTCATTTTAGAGCGATTTAAATTTTTCCCCCCAACAAATTGAAAGTGCTAATAATTAGATTCGAAAGAAGAAAACTTGCAAAAATCCGGTTTAACTCAAGAGGTAATGACTTGTAAATTTTGTTCGCAAATCAGCCAACTCATTGAAATCCATATTCCACAACTATAATTTACATTAGGTTAATGTCCAATTTACACCTTCGCGTTTAGACTGTTTACGGAAAAGGTATATAATAGCGAGGGAAAATATTCACACCTTAAGTTCTTTAACAAGTTTGCGATAAGAATTAAATTATTTCATGAAATAATTAAAGTTTTGAGTTCATACGCAATGAGTTCAACAACATATATCAAAAATAAATTATTTAATAATTACGTTAATTTTATTTTTTAAAGAATTATTTGATGAGAGAAACGTATTTTTGTAAATTAAATTCAGCTAGCATAATCTTATTTACAACAGATAAGGAAAAATTAACAATATAAATGTAATTAAAAAACCTAATTTCAATTTCAGAAAAGGCAATATTATTTGCCAATTGCTTCTGGAGTTTAAAAGTTGTATTTAGAACTAGAAAATGGAAAGAAGTAAAGTCTGAGATAAAATCCCAAGCAGAATTAGAAAAAAAGTTTTTAATTTTTTTTTAATTTTTATTATTACTTTTTTTCTTAGTTAANAAAAGGCAATATTATTTGCCAATAGCTTCTGGAGTTTAAAAGTTGTATTTAGAACTAGAAAACGGAAAGAAGTAAAGTCTGAGATAAAATCCCAAGCAGAATTAGAAAAAAAGTTTTTATTTTTTTTTTATTTTTATTATTACTTTTTTTCTTAGTTTAATCAGTTTCTGATGAGTTTCACTATTGTTAAAAAGATCTGGTTGAAATTATGTTAACTCTGAAGTTAAAAAAAAAAGGGGGGGTATTACTCTTATAAATGTATGGACTGAGAAAAAAAAATTTCTCTCATCATTGATATATATCTTCTAACATAAAGTCCTTCAAGAGGCAATGATGATTTTATAATCAACATAAACATATAAGTAAACATTAAATATTTAAAATAACAATGCCCTTCCAGAAAGAAATCCCATCAAAATTGATTTGTCACTGCTAAAGATACTTCAATATTCAAGTTTCATTCCAAAGTTGAAAGGATCCCGACAGTTCTTGAGGAGTTCTTATACGCTTTCGGGGTTCTTTAGGACATGGAGCAGAAATAGCCCCATTGTTGTCTTCGAGGAAGTGTAATTTAGAGATTATCCTACCTTTTACCTGTAGGAATCTTAGCAAAATACCTTTAATCCATCGAAAATCGCCAAAATCTCTTCTCCAATTTCTTCTGTGTGTGTTCACTACACCTTCTCGCCAGACTTCATAAAAGTGATACTTTTAAAAGTGAATAACAGCCTGGGAGGTAATTCCTGATGGTGGACCCTTGAAACTTTTGTTGCTGATGTTTGCCTTTGTATTGAGGAAAAATACCTCTTGTCCACCAAAAAACAGGAAGGGTATAAACATAATCGAACCTTTTTGCTCGTGCGACGTGAGTTAAGAGATTCTGAAATGCTCAAGGATTAAAGGCGTAGAATCACTTGGGATTTCCTAATTGGACATTAAATTCCGAAATGTCCATTCTTTGGCAGTGAATGGCGGTGAAATTTTACGGTTACTTGATTATTCGGCTTGCAGAACTCACACGTTGGCTTCCTGGGTCTGGATTCATTGTCATTTGGCTCATACTTGGCAGTAAACGGTGCGTTGGTAATATGCTCCCGAAATACGAGTGACATTGGATTGTGATTTCAAAAGCTGAAGATTATTCCGCAAATGGTGCTATTTAGCTTTGTTGCTTTCCCAGGATAACTAAATTTGACTTGGATAAAGATATTTTGGAGCTATTATATGTAAAAAAAAAAAGGGGGGCTCATGTCTGATTTGTATTAAGAAGATATCTTGTACTGAATTCTTGAATAGACATTTTAAGACGGAAGTAAGTTGTTTAGATCCACAACAATGCATACCAAGGGAGCCGCTATGGCTCAGGGGATAGAGCGTTCTCCCTCCAATGAGGCGAACTGGGTTCGAATCTCAATCGATACGAATTCTGCATCCGGCTTGCACCGGCCACAGTGCTCACTTGAAAGATCCTCAGCGGGATCATGAGTTAAGACGGAGCGTATCAGATGATTCGGACGGATCATGGGTTAAGAGTCCCCTTGCCGTCAGGCTAACAGTGGGAGGTTCTCGTGGTCTTCCTCTGCATGTAACGCAAATGCGGGTTAGCTCCATCAAAAGAGTCCTCCGCGAAGGCAAATTTCTCCCAATACTCGATCCAGGAGTTCCCTTGACTTCTGGATTGGGTTCAAAATTACAAGGCTCCGGAATTGCATATTAGTAGTCGTAAACCCATGAAATTGGGTTGACTGTTCAACGACGGTTATAAAATAAAATAAAATGCATACCAAGGATGGACCTAAATTTAAAGTCTAGTAATTTTCATAAATATCTATCAATCATAGTTGTTAAATCTCATTTCGCTTGTAATTATGTTTCCAAAAGTAATAAATTATTATCTGCCTTCATATGCTCACATGTGAAAACAAACTATTTCACTTCAAATGATGTTTTAAAATACATACGTTATAGAATTTAATTAAAAAATATATTTTTAATGAAGTTCATGTGGAGTTGAAAGGAAAAATTTGGCTCTTCGCAGGCTAAATGCTTGAGAATTGTTTATTTAGCTTCACATACTTTTTGGCTCATCTCATATCAATGATGCCAAACACCTTAAGTCTAGTGGGAAAAGATACAAATCCTTGCTCTATCGGTTTGTTCGCAAAAGAGCTTCACTTATTGCTATATGGTATTACAAAAGAAATATAATTTATCCAGATTATTTTTCATTTAATTTCGCACAATTTTTTCATTTATTTATCATTGGCAAGAATTAATATTTATAAATAAAATATGTTTTGCTTGCATTGCTGTAATAAAGATGTATCTTTTTTTTTTCCGTAGAAATTTTTTCCAATCCAAAATATCGATTGCAATTTTTCTGTTTTAAGTTGGGAAAATCAAAGCTGTAACTAAAATAGATTTTTAAAAAAAGAAAAAAAAAGGATATTAACAAACTGAATATTTATAATTTAATCTCACTTAGTTTATTAAATCAGGGTATTTATCTTTAAGTTTGAAGTTTAGAACAGGTTTTATGATAAGTGAGAAAATTGATAAAAGTAACTTCAGCTGTTCAAACTATTTTGATTGATAAATATGTTCTTGCCATAGTGTGGAAGTTAAGCTTAATCTCGATTCTCATAGATTGTTATCGAACTTTTTCTGTAAAAAAAATAATTTAGTTTAATATTCTTTTAAATTTAACTGAAAACTTAGATAACCGCAATCTAAAACTTTATGATCATAATATGAAGAATATTAAATTTTCTCTTCGATAAGAAAACACGGAAACTTTTATGGGAACTTAGATATGAGGTTATCCTCATATATTTATCAGAATTAAATCGTTTTAAAGATAATGGATCGATGTTTACGTTATTTTAATAACAGATGCTATATGAAAGTATTGGGGCAATATAGAGATAAGTTACACTTTTTCCGGTAGACACATTCGTGACATTTTTCATAGAGTGTAACATGAGAACACTCTTTGGAGAACACACATTTTTTTAATACACAGAGACAACTTTTTGTCTACATAAAAATTGTATTTTCTCCCCTCTGCAAAACACTTTCCATAATTATTTGAAATTATCGTAAATAATTATATTCTATGAAGCTTTCAGTTAAATTTAAGAAATTATATTGGAAAATATATTATATTTCATTAAAAATTATTTTTTATTAAAAAATTATGATAAAAACAGTGAGCGTTTTTTCAAAAGAAGCGTTAAAATGTCACAAGATTTAGCATTACAAATCAGGAATTTGTTAGAATAATCATAAATATTTCTGAGTGACATAACTTTTTCAAAAAGTCGAGTAAAATTAAAATTTAGTTTTCTTAGCCTTTCTAGTATTTCGCATGAAAGATATCAGTGCGTAATTGACAAAATTATGAACCAAATCAAAAGTTTTAAAAATATCAATCATATGCTTGGATTTTGAATATTTTCATTAAAAGTATATTCGAACAAGAGCGATACACATTTGAGTCTTAAGTTTAATTGAAATCAGGAAAATAAAGTTGACTTACTTTTGAACCGGACATCATTATGTTGCTGAGAGACCTGAAATAGATAGAAGAACTATTACCAATAAACAAATTTGTAACTCAAGGAATTGTGAAACTTTTTTTATAATAAAATTCAATGTTAGAAAAAATGTTTACAAAATACAATTTTTATTAAAAAAATTTGCTTTGAAATTGAAAATTTTAAGATTTTTTTTTCCTTCTTTCATAAAGTGCTCGTTAAGGAGCATTTTCCAAAGATTGTAAGTTAGAACTTATTTGAACACGAAAAAAACAATGTTTCTTTTTTACAGTTATGCGAATGAAATCAATTTTTTAGTTCAGGCCCAGTTATGAGTTTTCGACCTTCAATGTTCCGTAACATTTATTTTATTTTATTACCGTTGTTGAACAGCCGACCTAATTTTATGGGTTTGAAACTACTAATGTTCAACTCCGTAGCCTTGTAATTTTGAACCCAATCCAGAAGACAAGGGAGCTCGTGGATCAAGTACTGGGAGAAATTTGCTGTCGTGGAGGACTTTTTGATGGAGCTAATCTGCGGAGAGGAAGAACACGAGAACCTCCCACGGTTAGCCTGACGGCAAGGGGACTCTAACCCATGATCTGTCTACCACTGAGGATATTTCACGTCAGCACTGTGGTCGGTGCAAGCCGGATGCGGAATTGGTATCGAATGGGATTCATACTCGATTCGCCTCATTGGAAGGCGAACGTTCTATCCCCTGAACCATCGCTGCTCAACTCTGTAGCATTGTAATTTTTAACTCAATCCAGAAGACAAGGAAATTCTTGAAGCAAATCTTGGGAGAAATTCGCCTTTGTAAAGAATGTTACGATAGCAACTGTTCAAATAAACTGTATGTGTGAATCAGTTCCTACGGTTTTCCTACTTATTTTCATTTATAAAAATTGTTTTAAATAGCAAAAAGTATCAATATTATTTTCTTTGTTGCGCTTGTCATTAAAAATTAAATGCTTTTAGATATTAGAAGCAAATGTTAATTATTTTATCTATAAGTTTAAGGAAAGAGCTGGGTAAAAGAAAATTATTACTAATAAAAAGTAATAAATTTAGGTGTTTATTATTATTTTTTTAATTGTAAGTAAACCTATTGGAACTAGTTCCTAAAGCATTTTAAATTCAAATTTTAAATATGATAATTTCTACAACGAGGAGGAAAAAAACATTTTAGAATAAGCATTATATTTATCACTATTTTTTTCAGAGTAGTTAATATCCATGATTTCAACATCATTAGAAAGAAGTAGCAAAACGTAATGTAACGATTATAAAAGAATTTAAATTTCAAAAATCACGAATTTTAAAAAAAGTATTCTAAAAGAAACACTGAGAAAAAAGGTATGGTCAAAACTACCAAAATGAAGCTGGTTCTATGGGAAAACGCAAAATTTGATAATTTTTACCGAAGTGTTTTGATAATTATTTTGGTAAAATTAACAGTAAAATAATGTCCTATAGTATCAATTCGATAAATGCGGTAAAATTTAGTAATTTTATCATGACACCTTAGAGCAATGCATAAAAACCATTTATTCGGACAAATTTACTTTCATTTTTGTATTTTTCACTAGAACTTTACTCACGTGTGGCAATCAAAACTATAATTTCGAAAGGAAGAATCTCCGGTAAACTATTACAATATGAATGGGGAAAAAATATTAAATTAATGGTTAAAACACCTTATATTTTTGTTTTACTATTGTTGTTTTTTTTTACCAGAAATTTCATTACTATACAGCTCGGTAATTTTACCATAATTTTTTTCTCCGTGAAAACAGATAAAATATAGATATATATTTTTTAATACATTTAAAGAGTATGCAATGAGCTAAATAAAGAAGTTAAACTTTTCATTTATATTGCAAAATATAATATTTCAACAACTCGAAAAGAAGCAAAAAATTTTTAATGGTGCAGCTTATTTATAGTTTTTAATTTTAAAGCACTGCATTAATGATTTCAACTTAAACTGAGTTTATCAGCATGAACTGGATGAATATTTTCAATATAAACTGAAAGGAAATAGCAAAACGTAGTGTATCACGAAAATACTAGCAGTTGAGAACAGCAAATGAATAATTCATTGTAGAAGAAGTAGCGGGGAAAAGAAATTTATATCTATAAAAAGTATGCAGTAAAAAAATCAACCATTTATTTTATTTATTTATTTATTTTTAATGCAACATTCCACAGCGATCTTAAACAACGCTTAAGGAAACATAAAAGATTTTAGAAGAAACTGCTTATTATTACCAATAAAAATGTAACTTACATAATATATTTCAGTCTAAACAAACTTAATCTTATGCTTACAAGGACAGGGTGAAACACAACAATTTTGAAGACTACGTTTTCCAGAAAAAGCAGCAAGTAACAATGTGTACTTCACATGGTAAGATCTTAACATAAACTGACGGTATTTTTTTAAAAGGAAGAGTAAACAGTTACACTTAACCCCTCTGCCCATCAAAGAATACGAGGAAGAATACTTTAACCCTTTTCTTTGTTAAAATTCGGTGGCTATAAATTATCAGGTGTCAGTGTAAAGCATTGTTTGATCAGTGAGTACTCAAACAACAATACTTGAGAGTACAATAAAAATATCAACTCTTTGTTGAAAACTCATCAAGTACTCAAAAGTAAGTTTAAAAAAAAAAAAAATGCAAAATCCTGTTTCTCCTTGAAGAGGATTACATCCTCATGGCGGGGCTCTTTGATACGGAAGTGGTTAGTGATCCAGGTATTTACGATGTAACAGAACCACCTTTAGTAATCAAGATATGCAACAAGGGGCGTAGGTACATCCGTTCTCATATTGTCAAAAAAGGCGCCAGGCCTGTCACCTCGCAGTTGAAGACAATTCTGTCTTTTGTCCCTAAATGGCTTTAGGTACGATATGGTTAGTAATTGCTCACACCTTGTCAGAGCGGCCACTTACAAGTTTAAAAGAGCTTTTTCGTTTTTCTTTTTTTCATGCGGCACCAGCTAAGCAAAGAAAAATCACTTATGCTAGTTGGCAATTCTAGACCATTGCCCATGGGCTTTCGAGTTCTTTTTAAAAAGGAAATGACCATCATGTTGCACCTGCATACGGAATGCACCAGAATGTTTACATTTCATGATGCTTGTTTCTGTGTTATGTTTGTATCTTGTTTACTATTTTTTTCTTTTGCATTTTAACTCTATAAACATGGTTATTATTAAAGAAAATGTATATATTTGAGTGTGAAAATAAAGCACTTGGGGAACATTGCTCTTGGAAATAAAAATAAAAAATGAAGAAAAAAAAATTTCAATCATACTTCATTGTTGTTATAAAAGGAATCATACATGGAAATATAACTTTTAAAAATAACGAGTAAAAAGACAAGTTTTCCAAGAAAAAGTAACGATTAAAAAGTGAAGATAACAGACTTTGAAAAGTAATTAGTGAAATGTACAATTAAAAGTACGAATACAAAACAAAAAAAGCAGCGAATTTTAAGTAGGTATACCGACAGAAAATGAAAAACTTTTTAATGCGAAAGTACTTAAAGCAAATTTCACGCAGTAATTTAGTATTTAAAAGTACTGAAACGTAACAGGTAACATTTCAACGTGACGTAAAGGAAGCAGATACATAGCATTTCTAATAAACAACAAGAACTTAAAAAATCAATAATTTTCGGAAATTATGCTATTTTTTTAAAAAAATTTTCATTTAAATTAATTTAAAATTTGAATTAAGTTATCATACTTATTTAAAACTCAAGAATTAAAGAAAGAAAAATTTATATTGATTGTTTTTTAATGCCATAATAAATAACTTTTATAAATTTTAGAAAGTATTTATTTTAATAAAAAATTTAAATCACAATATAAATACTCAACTGAATATTTTATGAATGAAATTCAACTAAATATCTACATGTTTTATGTGAAACTCTTTAGAAAAAAAAGAAGAAGAAAATTTCAACGAAATTAAATTTCTTAATTTTACAAAAAAAGAAATTTTTTTGTAAAAATTCCACAAAAGGGAAAGAAATAAATCAGCAATCACACTGAGGAAGAAAGTTGGGTCAAAACTACCAGAATATTTTAAAATTTATCATGTTTCTGGCTCTATGGCAACACTAAAAAGAAAAAATATATTTTCTTAGTGCTGAAATGTGGTAAATGAAATAAAATTTAGTAATTTTATCTTGATAACTTTGAGCACGGCATAAAAACCATTTATCCAATTAAATTTACTTTACAGTTCTGTATTTTTTACTAAATGTGGTTTAATAAGAGCTATAATTTTGAAAAACCAGAATTTTCGGTAAAACGTTATCAAATGAACGAAAAAATTACCAAATGAATGGCTTAAATACGGTAAATTTTGGTTTCATTAATCAGAATTAAACTTTTTTTTAACTATTAAAGTCATTACCATAAAATAAAACAATTTTGAAAGAATTTTTTTAATCCGTGCACTAACAGAATTTTTTTAGTTAAAATAAAAAGTGATAAAATATATTAGAACAAATCCCACTTAAACTTCTGGGTATTGCAAAAATATCTGTAAATCCAAGCGACTTTTATTATAAACATTTATTGAATCGTAATATGCAAAAGAAAAATAAAGGAAGAAAACAGTTTTAGTTTATCCATATCACTTTTATTTTAAATTTTTTTACAGTAAATATTACACAGAACGTAAGACATATGTATAAAATAAACGTTTTTTTCTTCTGAATGCAATGTTTCAAAAGGAAAAAAAAACTGTAAATAACACCCTTTCTAACGCATTTAAGAAATATTGTTTTGAATTTTTAAAATAAAAAGAACTCTTTTCTTTATTATTAAGTTAACAATTTCAATTACGTTTTTTGAGAAGGGAATACTTCGTCATTATTTTATGTTAAATGAATTCATCTGATGACGTTTAATGAATGGATTATCTCATTTCATTCATTATTTTTATGCCCCAATTTCTATAACGACAGCTGAATTAAGACTTTTTTTAACTGACTTTTGTAATTCTTACGAAT